AAATCACGCACGAACACGCAAGCACGTGCTTTGCATTCCTGGCTCCTGTGCGCAGCTGATAGCGTGGTTGGACGGGCTCGCAGCGAAAGTGAACCTGTCGTGGTCGGCCGACCCCGCGGAGTCACTGGGTCAGGCGGCGCACGCACGCCACGACCGTGAACAGCGCGCGCGCCGCCGGCCGGCCCGTCGACGCGGTGAACAAAAGGTACAGCTATGAAGTCGTCCGTCACACAGCTGGACCGCTGCCGTAGTCACACTTGACGCGCGGGAGCGCGAGGATCATCAGTACGTCTGGCGCGCCGGGTGGCATCTGGGACATTCTGAGCTCCGATCCAGGTCACGGTGGACGTCAGCATCGGGCAGAGCTCGCCGTCCGACAGTGCGAATCTTCGCTCGCTCCCGCGAGGTTGCAGTCACCCTCGTCTCCAGCAGCGCGATGCCGTTCAGCCGCGGTCCGCAGCAGTAGCCGACCATGCGGCAGCCGACGCTGGAGGCGCGCGCGATCCTGCCGGCCGAGGTGCAGTACGGCCCGCCGCCGATCGTCCACTACGGCGCGGTCGCCTCCTCGGCGTCGTCCTCCTCTTCGTTACACGAATGGCGACCCTCTCCGAACGGCGCGTCCGGATGGCGACCGTCATCGGGATGGCGACCGTCAGCCGGGCCGCGGCGGCGGCGACCGCAGCGGCGCCGGCCCGCCGTCAGCCACCTGACGCTGGACCCGGCCCAGCAGAGCGTCCTCCTGCAGGACGTCAGCAGCATGCTGCGCCTGGAGAAGCAGCGCGAACAGCAGCAGCGGCAGCAGCAGCGCGCCGACAAGCTCAATCTCAACCGACACGCGGCCACGCGCGGCCACGCGCACGACCAGCCGCCTCAGGTGTACGACATGAGCGGCATGAGGACCGACGGCAGCAGCCTGGGCACGACTGAGGACGCACTGAGCATAGTGGAGGAGGTGCTCAGGACGGACCGCTGGACCCAGCAGACAACCGGCACCAGCAGCGTGAACTGGAAGCCGTTTGTCGCAGAAGACCTTGGCATCGAGCGGGAGGAGGACAGCGAGCATACGGTGGCGGCAGGGGGTGTCACTAGCATCGTCGGGGAGCGAAAGGATGAGGGCGGGTACCCCGCCGCCGGCGCGCCCTCGCACTACGGTGAGAAGCCGAAGGGGAAGTACCCTGCCGCTGGCGCCCCGTCCCACTACGGCGAGAGCCCAAAGGGCGGCTACCCGGCGGCGCGTCCCTCTTCGCACTACGGCGCCCCTACGTCGGGCGCGGCGCCCGCCTGGTCAGGGCTCGCGCGGCCCCATCCCCTCGCGCCGCACCGCCCCACCCACATACGACAGGGCCCCGCTGCCGGCTGCCGGTGCAGCACGTACAACAACATCGGCGCGGTGGCCGGCACGACCACGCTGGTCCTCAACGCCGTGCTGTTCGTGTTGCTGGCCATCGCCAACGGCGGCGGCCTGGGGCGCGGTTTGCCGGGCTCGCGCGAGGCGCCGGCTAACGCGCTGCCGCCGCTGAGTCCCGAGATCTCGCACCAGGCCCTACGGTTCGCCTGCGACCTGATGGGCTTCACCGAGCCGGACATGACCGGCCACGGCAACTTCCTGCCAGCGCCCGGCGGCCCGGCGGGCCACAACCTGACGGGTACTGTCACCATCGCCGAGCTCTTCGGCGATGGTGGTGTGCAGACGTCTGGCAGTATCTACGTCGATCACGGGGGTGCGGCGGTGGGGCAGACCGACGGAGGCGAGCTGGCATCGTCCGGTGCGACGGTGACGCTCGGTGGAGCAGCGGCGGCCGATGGTGATAACGGAGAAGCATCGGGCGACGCGCAGGGCGGCTCGGCACCTCCCGGAGGCTTTGTCGTCGAGACGCCGACCTCTGAAGAAGCTCTGACGGAGGCGGGCTCTGCTGTCGAAGGGACGACGGCAAAGCCCGTGACGGGAGGCATGCAGCCCACCAGCACCGTCACCGAACGACCTGCGAAGCCCACTGCACCGGGCGAAAATCGACCCGACGCCGGCGAGGAGACGACGGGTCCTGGTTCGTCTCCGACCATCACGGTCACGACGAAGAGACCGTCGTCGGTCTCGCCCGCCTCTGCTCAGCTCTGCCAGGGCCTCTGCATCGAGACGGTGCATGGCGTCTTTCCGATCCGAAACAACGTGACGCTGCCGCCTGGCGGCGAGGAGATCGCGAGTCTGCCGAAGCCGGTGGTGACCGCGCTGCCGGCCGGCCTCGTCACGCTCTCCAGCTTTGCGCCGCCGCTGCCGGCCGAGCTCGTCGTCTCCAGCCAGCAGACGCGGCCTCCGGGTGTCGTAGATCCCGGAGAAGCTGCTGTGTCTGAGAACGCCAACGGACCGCAACCTCCGGCGCCTATCGCCGTGGCGCGCCCACCGGGCGCCCTGCCGCTGCCGGTGCCGCCATCCTGGACTCGGGACGGCCCTCGGCTGCCCTGAACGTCACCAGCGGCGGCGGCACGTCCATATACCTGATCCAGAACCAGACCATCATCACCGCCAGTAGACCGCAGAGTATCGCGGGCCCCACGCCGATCGAGAGTCAGCTCCCTGCGGCGGGGAACAGGCCTCAGACGACACAGGATGTGGACAGCCTGCTGCAGAGTCTGCTGGCAGTCTCCGACATCGATAATGACGTGGAAAGCAGCGCTGAGGAGCTTGGAGGAGGCCTGAACTTGCTCGACACCGAAACGACGCAGAGCTTTGTCAGTGTAACGACGGACATCACACACAGCGGAGATAAGGGCCAGACGGACACTACCGATACAACAACAGCTCACGCCACGTCAGGGATCCCTGACGGTACTGACGTCGGAACACTGGACGGTGCGCAGAACCCATCTACTGCAAGTGCAGGTGCCACACAAGTCACAGGCCAGCCTGCGCTCGGTGAAGAGCTCATCACTTTCGAGAGCTTCACGGCTGCGCCGGTAACATTGCGACCGGTGACGCCATCAGAATCGTCAGGCGGCGCGGCATCAGTCGTAGAGAGCATCATGGGAAGCATCACCTCCATCATCTCTGGCATGGTTGGCGGAAACACCACCGTTACTAGCGATGGTGGCGTCGGTTTACCAGCAAACATGTCTTTTGCTTCTGTGACGTCGTCAGCCGCTCCTGGGGTGATCCCATCGGAATCAGGCGCACCGCCAGGTCCTACTGCATCAGTGACGGCTTCGGCAACGTCACAGTCTGACTTGATCACAGCATCAAAACCGCCTGCGTCGTCATCCGCAATGCCGGCGCCGCCATCCCCGGCGACGGAGAGCACCTCTTCAGAGCCAACGCCGCCGCCAAAGGACAAAGTGACGCCGCCAGCGAGCCTTGTGACATCATCTCCAGATCTGGTGACGTCATCTCCAGATCTGGTGACGTCGCCGCCAACGCCCCTTACCTTGGCGCCAGTGGTGGTGACAGGTGGCATGGGCCTGGGTGGGGGCGAGGAGATGACCACGTCCCAGGTCGGCCTCGGCACGTGGTTCGAGGCCACCAACCCGGACGGCGAGGATGTCGCGTCCACTGTGGAGATCCTGTCCACGCTGGGCACGGTGGAGCAGCACGACGCGGTGCCCTACCCGGACGGCACGTTCGGGCTCGACATCAGGCCCACGGAGCCGATACCGCCGTCGACGCTCGAGCAGCGGACGCCGCCGCCGCCGACAGTCGCCCCGACCACCGCCGGCGCCACGGCCGACAACGCCTGGAGCCAGCTCTTCACCTTCAACAACCTCGGCTTCTGGAAGCCGCCGACGAAGAGGCCGGCCGAGCTGCTGTCGCTGAAGCCCGGCCTTGGGTGGCCGCCCGGCGGCAGCGACAGCTTCACGAGTTCGCTGTTTGGCGTTAACCAGCCGGGATCGTTTGTGCAGGCAGTGGGCGGATCGCCGGCAGTGGCCGAACAACAGGAGAGCGACATCGTCTTCATGGGCCCGCCAAAGGAGGTGGAGATCAGCAGCTTGTTCGAGCAGCTGAGCGCTGGGACGCGACAACCGCCGACGCCCTCCGGCGTCGAAGCCATTGTCAGCATCCAGCAGATCGATCCAAACGCGCCGATGATGATGATGCCGACGCCGCTTAACTTCACCGACTCGCCAATCATCTCCATCTCCCCGCAGAAGACCGCCGCAGCAGGCGCAACAGCGGCGTCCGGGATTTCAGAGGCAGTGCCGGACCCGACCAAGCCGTCCCTGACGACGTCCGTGCCAGGACGGCCGTCGCCACCGCCGCCATCATCACCGCTGCCGTCGCCACCGCCGCCATCATCACTGCCGCCGTCGTCAACGCTGCCGTCGTCACCGCTGCCGTCGTCACCGCCACCGTCTCCATCGCCACCAGCTGTTCCCACACGAGATCCGCCGACTAAGACTGCGGCGGCTGAGGACTCGGAGACTCAGGACCCAACTTCTGAACATCCAGCAAGTCAGGGTCCATTAGCACAGGACTTTTCGACACATGGAGATGATTTGACATCATCGGTTGGCGCCGAGTTCAATGAGACGGAGTCGACGACCTCACCTTTCGTCGTTATTGCAGAACTGGGTTCGGAGGTCTCCAGCACCACCGGCATGCCGACCACAGGTGAGCCGGCGACAGAGGTTGTCATTGTGACCGCTGAAGGGGCAGCGCCTTCGTCCAGCGCGGGGAATGCCACATGGACGTCATCCTTGGCTGTCGGGCTCAACTCGAATGGACAGCAGGTCCCGACGTTAATCCCTGGAGGTGCTACGATAGCGTCTGACGAAGCTGGACAGAATGGGGACGTGACTGCCGAATCATGGCAGGGCTCTGATCAGGGGCAGTCTGTTAATCAGGGCCCACTTGACATCAACTGCCAGCTCGCCGGAGGACACAGCAGGAGAAGGTGGCGACCGTGAGCCAGCGGAAGATCTGGTCGCCGTCAACGTGCTAAGCACATTGTTAACGCCGCCGACCTTGACGACAGATCCAGAAAGCTGTCTACCTGGCTTGATTCCACAACTTTGCTGCCAAACCACGTCGAACCATACATGGGAAGCACAAGAACGCCACCAAAATCAAAGCCATCCACGAGTCCAAAGCCACGCCCCGCTCCCATCGTGTTCAACTCTCTCGGATTTTGGAAACCCACTAGGCGACCGATTGCGTTTAATAAGCTAAAGCACAAATACCAGACAACAGCCTCTCCCGCACCAGACAACAACCAACAGCCCACCGTCTCCGCCAGTGAGCTTGGTCGGCTACCAACGGAGCGTGAGCCCGTCTGGATCTCACCGGCGTCCGCGATCGGTGCTGCATCGCCCGAGCCAGAGCCGGTCTGGATCTCGCCGGCGTTCAGCGGCGTATCTCCGAAGCCCCAGCCGGGCTGGATCGGCCCGCCTGCCACGATGAGCACCGTCTCGCAGGAGTCGCTGCCCGGCCTGCTCGGCACGCTGTTCGCGAGCCTGAGCGTGGCTGAGGACGAGGCCGCGCCGCCGACGACCGGGCCGCCGGCGGACTCCGCCGCCCGACCGTGGTACATCATCGGACCGGTCATGACCACCGCAAAGGACGAGTCGGGCGCGACGAAGCCGGCGGGTGAGGGCACCACGGGGCCGGCGCAGGCGCCGGTGACCGCGCCAGGTTTGACGTTCGCCAGCAGCTCGGAGGCGAGCACACCGCCCACGTATGTGACTTCGGGATACGCAGCGACTGCTTTCGCTTCCGCTTCTTCCGCTTCCGCGCCATCATCAGCATCAACATCTGAAACAACGCGTCCGTCCTTATCCTTCGCGCGTCCACCCGCCATACCTCAGTTCAACAAATACGGCTTCTGGAAGCCTGAGAAACGGCCGTACCACAGCGTCCTACAGAAGCTCAAGCAGAAGTACCGGAAGACCACACCGGCGCCGCAACCGTCGAGCCCGCCTGGCACTCCGTCCAAGATATCGTACATCAACCAGGACTTTCATCCGGACCGACTGCACCTGGGCACACGACCTTTCGGCTTCAAGCGTCGTCCCCTCGGCGGTCGTCGTGGGCGCAGCGAGCGCTCGACGAACGATCCCGCTTCTGACACCACTGCGGAGCTTCTGGCTAGTGTGGGGCGCAGTCTGCATGCGGCACCGGACGACGCGCGGGCGGCGGAGGCGGCGGCACGCAGCTTCCGCGGCCAATTTCGGCGCCGCGCGCAGCGACGGCAGTTCTCGGGTCGCTGCGTCACCGAGTGTTGGCTGGGCACGGTGGGCATCCTCGGCAGTGTCGGCGGTCTTGCCGCCCTCACACTGCCCGTGTACGCACTGCTTGTAGCCTCGCTGGCCTCGTCCGGCTCGTCCAGCGCGTCCAGCTCGTCCAGCAGTTCGAGCTCGTCCGGCTCATCGGGGATTCCGGGTCTGGTGCTGTTCGACCCGGTGCCTGTGGTGCCGCCCGTGCCATTTGTGGTGCTACCGGACGAGGTGCAGCCGCCGGCGCCTCCCGTACCTACAGGACCTCCAGGAGCTCTGCCTCCGTCAGGACCTCCGGGAGCTCTGCCTCCGTCAGGACCGCCAGGAGCCCCAGCGCCACCGGGAGCCCCTGGCGACGATGCGTCAGGAGCCCCAGCGCCGCCGCCGGGCGCCTCTGGCGACGATGCGTCAGGAGCCCCAGCGCCGCCGCCGGGCGCCTCTGGCGACGATGCGTCAGGAGCCCCAGCGCCGCTGCCGGGCGCCTCTGACGACGAGGTATCAGGAGCACCTTCGCCCGCACCACCGTTAGGTATGTTTGTCGAAACCACTGATGGTTTAGGGAGTGCCCCTTGCTCCAAGTATACTTTTGGACTTGGATTTCCTTCGTGACCTTCGTTGTCCGGCGAAGGGGTAAAAATGGCCCTGTAGGGCGACAACCAATGGTTGCGAATTGATTTTAAAAAGTTCCTTAATGGTGCCTCCCCCCCCCCCCTCTCGTTGCGCGAGAGTTAAGGCAGGCTGGTAACAACTGGTGGGATGTTGTTTAGTCTAAAATAATAGCAGCGGGACAAACGCGATAGCGTTAACAGGCCTCAACCTGTTTTTTTTTTTTAGCAAACATTACGAACGGCTGGCCATCAACACCGGCATAGTGTTTAAGGCTCGCCAATATTTATATTGTACGTCTTCCTATGCATGCGAATCCTTTGACAGACAAACCAAACCAAACCAACTAGCGGTCATTACTTGCTAATGTGATCGCTGTAATTTGTACTGCCGACCACTGATTCTATGTTAAAATTGCAGAGACGGAATCCAATGGTTGGGAACGGTGTCTTATGTTTCAACACGTGACAGGCCGTTCGAAATCGCACCGATTTTTGGACAGCCATTTTTTGGACAGCGGTGACTACGACATTGCAGAATAACGCAACTGTTTCAGGAGCGGATACGCCAAGTTAGAGGAACAGTTTCAGGCATATAAGCAAGGAGAAGAGTGAAGGTTTTAATGACCTGTATAAATCTCCTCGTCGTACCAAACATTCATTTTCTCCAAGTGCTTGAACCTCAGCATGCAGAACACCAAAGACTGCAACAGGTTTCAATCGCCGATCTGTCATGTATATGAAGCAAAAACTTTAGATCTACCACGCATGTACTCCTGCGTGCTCCGGTGTTATAGCTCGGAAGTTGTGCTTAAGCAAATTACTTGTTCTAACCACAAACTTGCATTTCGAAAATGTCCTTGAAGACCTGTGTGCCTTGTTCCGTTATATTAGACGCGCTTGCCACCCACTGCATGGCCGGCAATGAACATTTGCGACATCAAAACAGGGCAAAAATCGATGCGAGTTTTGAGTTTCCTTCACATTGCGAAAAGGCAAAGCTTGTGCTCTCAAAAGCAAATTTGAAGTGACAGGAAATGTCGTTCAGCGAAAATATTACCAATTTTGGGTCTTTTAGTTCCTTCATGACGTTGTAATGCTGTGACTTAAAATATTTCTTTATCTGCTTTATTCTGGGTAGTATCCGCTGGCCCAATGAAAAACCGGTTTGGGATTACTTGAGAATAATGTTATGACTTGGCCTCATTTCATTGGAGCATTTCTTTTCCGAATCTGTGTGTTGTTTACAACACGCCCTTCAGACTGTTGCTGATATACGCATATCTATTATGCATCATGATCTCACGATGGTTAGTTTAACGTCACGACATCCTAAGTCACGCCACAACTGCCGTAGATATTAACCTCTTGTTGGAAAAATTGATTCCCTGACCTCTTCTTTAGCACGCTGCGTTAAAGATAAATCTCTCTGATGAGTCACGAACTGCGTGACGAGGTCATAGAGGTCAGCTTCAGCGCCCCCATTAGATGTTTCAATGGGTCAGGGGGCCACAAAACTCCTGTCAAGATCAGTCGGCCACAGCCACAGCATTGTCATGCACCAGGCTGCTGCAGATAATAACCTGTTCAGCCGAGTACGCAGTTTATTAGCTCTGCGCCAGGTGCTTTCACTTCATTCAAACGTCTATCCCGCTGCATATCTTCGCGCTTTGCTGCACACACCATCCTACCGCACCACGAGCTGCTGGTGCCATCGGAACCACTCAGGACTCTGCAACTGATCTTCTGCGCGCGCTGCGGAGCGGAGCGAAGGGCAGCGAAATTGACGCTTGATCAGCCATCCCGGAGGCCCATTCTCGATGCCTGTCATCTCACTTTCGTCGCAGGAGTCGCTGGACTAAGACAATGTAGGATTGAATGTATTGCTGGGTGCTTTAGACGCGAATACTACAGAGGCTTTTGTCTTCGCGGTGATCAATGTGCAAACACAATGCTTCTCCAGTGTTCGAACAAAGTTCGTTATGCACACTCAACTTCTGCAGCACTTCTGGCCCACCCGTCCATCAAGAAGATTAATATGGCAGTATTTTGCAGCAACCGATTCCCTGCCAAGCGCCACCTAAAAGTTATTGGGTAGTTTTCAGTCGCTGAGTGAAGCGGCTGAATGGACTTAAAGTTAAAAGATAGCTTTTACGGAGAGCGGATGACTAAGTTGAAGATTCACGGAGAGCGGAGGACTAAGTAAATTGAAGGTTTACGGAGAGCGAAGGACTGAGTAAGGTGAAGGTTTACGGAGAGCGGAGGACTGAGTAAGTTGAAGGTTTACGGAGAGCGTAGGGCTGAATGAACGCTGAAGGCTTACGGAGAGCGGAGGGAGGAGTAAGTTGAGGGTTTACGGAGAGCGGAGGACTGAGTAAGCTGAAGGTTTACGGAGAGCGTAGGACTGAGTAAGCTGAAGGCTTACGGAGAGCGTAGGACTGAGTAAGCTGAAGGCTTACGGAGAGCGGAGGACTGAGTAAGTTGAAGGTTTACGGAGAGCGGAGGACTGAGTAAGTTGAAGGTTTACGGAGAGCGGAGGACTGAGTAAGTTGAAGGTTTACGGAGAGCGGAGGACTGAGTAAGCTGAAGGTTTACGGAGAGCGTAGGACTGAGTAAGCTGAAGGTTTACGGAGAGCGGAGGACTGAGTAAGCTGAAGGTTTACGGAGAGCGGAGGACTGAGTAAGCTGAAGGTTTACGGAGAGCGGAGGACTGAGTAAGTTGAAGGTTTCAAACTGATAGGGTCACCTGCAGGCACGGTTTGCGGACCCACTTGAAATCACCACCTTGTTTTTTGTGTGTTTTTTTTTGGAATCAGCCTCGCTCGGGCTTGTTTGCTGGTATAGCACATTTAAACATACGTTTACTTTTATTTTCGTTTCATGAAGCTAGGCTCAGGTCTTTTCTTCGCCGTTTACACCCTGTGGTGTTACCCAGCGTCGTTTTGCAGCACTCAAACGTCTTTGGTTGATGACCTGTTGCTTTCATGCTTGATTCTGGTCACAGTCCTTTAGTTTTTACTTATATCTTGACATATTATCCCCGCTGGCCTGGAAATCGCCCACCCTCTTCCGTTGCTCTTGCATACCCTGCATATTAGCTTTGCCATTTTTGAGCAGGGAATGACACGGTTTCCTTTGTTCAGTTCATGGAATGGCTGTTATGGTACGATTATCAGTGCCGTGGACGATAACAACATTACAAACACCCCTGCCCACCTGTTCATGAGTGTTGTGTAAAAAAAACCTGAGCACTATTTTCAATGCTGTCTTTTGTGATGCAACTCACCCGCATAAGTATCAATTCTGTGGCGTCATGTCAAGCTCATCTCTTTGCCGCCTCAAACGTTACAAGTCAACCCTCCTGACCTGTTTCCTGTCGTGACCTGTAAGGTCACGTTGGGCCAAATGTCATTTTCTAGACATGCCACGTACCTTTCTACGTAAAACCTTTGCCAGTACGACAGTCGCATGTCTGTCAACGATTACGCACATCTGTTGTCAGGAGAAGCGTATGCCACTGCCAGCCATGCGTTATCGCGCTGGTATCACATTTGCGTTACGTTTTCTCCTTCACTCTCCGTATTCTTAACTACATATTTCCTAGGTGCAGCTAATTACGATTCCAGCATTGGTCAAGGATCCAAAAAATTCGTTCAGCGCTAGACTTGCGCAATTGTCCAGCTGACCTAGCTTGGCAACGGCATGACCTACAACTGTTCCGACACGGGTAGGTTCAGGTCGAGCATGAGGTCTAGTAGTATTGAGCATTTCCCACCAATCTCATTATTCCCCTCTGCTTTCCGCTACGCGGGATTCCGCAGGCCAGTCGCATCAGAGGTCATCGTCTTCCCAGGATCACTTCACCGCAACCTTTCAGTCTATGAACGATGTCTAAAATAAGGACGCCGATTGCCAGACATCCACGACGAGAGTCAGTCACTTGAAAAAACCGCTTCTGCTCCTGTCGGTACTCAACACATACTTTCGGGGAAAGCGCTTCTCAATGTACAGCGTTTTTGTTTTTGTTTTTGGTGAAAAGTCGTGTGCCGCGGGAGATCTCTTAGTGTGTTTCCTTTCATTTTGATTGGGCATTATGATGCGATGCCCGGAAGCACCGACCTTCCCAGACCGCCCCGTGCGCAGTTCCTCAGACAGCCACCTGCTCAGATCCACAGTTTGGTGCGGTCGAGCTGGAGGAGGAGGAGGAAGAGTACGATGACCAACAGCAGGATGACGGTTTCTTCTTCCCCGAGGACGGCTTCGAGGACAGCGAGACTGCCGAGGCGCCCACCGCTCCGCAGGGACCACCTGGCCACTTCCACGACAAGCCAGGTGCGTGCTGTTCCTACCCTAGCCGCACAGTGTGTGTGTTTGTGTTGTGTGTTGTGTGTGGGGGGGGGGGTCTCTTTTAAATCGTATGGTTATTCAGCAACATGCATCCACGCCGTTACTGTCTGTCTTCTATTGCTAAGCACCGCCCTGTTATTGTGTTGTTGCCGCTTTTTCAGTTTTGGTTGGTAGGAAGCTCTGAGAGATAACATAAAAATGTGTCTGCTGTTAGACTGAGAACAGTCAACAACCGAATTAGATACCCGGTTGTGTTTGAACAGCTACATAATCCACGTTTTGCCCGGGTGTCTGTCGTGCGTGCCATCGCGATTTGTCACCACAAGACGTGTACACCAATCATTTCCAGCGATCTTCAAAGGCTTTGATCGGTGACAATGCCTTCATCGAAGTGACTGTTATTGATATCATCGTAGTGACTATTTGTTCATGGGTACAATTTCAGATGCAGCAAAAGCTTGTGATGATTTATTAGATACACAATCTAGCTTATGGAAACAATGCTCATTCAGCGGTGACTTCATTGATGACGCCTCAAACACAAAAAAGCGCCCTGCATTATTCCAGAGGCGCATACTGCCCGTAATAACAGCTGTTCCGGCTCCAGTGAGAGTGATGGCAGGACCATAATTCCAGGTACTCCCACGAAGCCCGTGGATCCAGATTCCACGAGCGGGGTGTTAGGGGAGAACTTTGGAGTGGATGTGACGGATTGCCACAACTTCAAGCTCTGCATTCTTCACTCAAGAACTCCGGAGACAAACAAAGGTAAGCATTGGTTATGGAGTATGCATTCATAGGTGCACAGGTAAAAAACAAACCGTTGCACGCCACGTGTTACTGGTATCAAACAGTGCGAGAAAATGTGCGATAGATAAAACATGATATCACTGCGGTCGGTCCATTTGGCGTGCTCACATTACGACTTGGCTTGGCGATGGCTGACAATGAGTATCATGCCGAATAGCTAAAGATGTATATGCTCACCCAAAATCAACACCGCGCTGTCGGTGCGCAGGCGCATTAAGTTCGATTTTTGCCGCCTACGTGTTCTGAGAAAAGCTGCCGGAGTCGCCATGCAGCGGCATTGGGCACGAGTCCCGGAGGGGTGCATTTTTTACACGGCTGACCTGGGAAGGTTAGCTGGCAACTTGCCAATAGGGATCAACCCAGGACCGGGGCGGCCGTTGCCGTAGCTACTGTGCGGCATGTAAACCTTCCCGCAGTCCTGCCCTGCGAAAGAGTGGAAGCAGTATCATCTGTTGCACTGGAGGGCACAGTTTGCGTGGCTGGTTTGAGGCACGCGTTACGATCCTTGCTTAGCCAACACGCTGAACCCAAGACTATCTACGCAAGCCACTCGGAGAACGAAACTCTCCGCAATCCGCAACTGCTGTAGCATCCGTAATAATCTGCCGCACTTATTACGTCGTGTTCGCACGATGAACACCTATGGCTGTGTGCGGCCGCACGTTTACTCGCCCGAACCACGTCTGCGGTCGGCCGACTGACCCACGACCGGCGCGGCATCGCCTTCTGTCGGAAGAAGCTTCGCCACTGAGCAAACTCTCACCAAGAGCTCAATGTGCGCCCCGCTCGTGTGGTCAAGTAGCGTGCGGCCGACTCGCGGTGTTACTGCGGTATTAACGGTGGGGTTGTGGAAAACATGGCTGAGTTTTGCGCTGTTTGACGTGCTGGCTGGCATATGTGGCCGCTTAAAACGGCTGGTGAGGCGTAATAAGCTTTCTCAAAAAAGTTGTTGAGGGTAGTAATCATTTGCTGCGAACGACAAATTACCAACTGATCGTCAGATTGTGAACGGTCCCGTTCGAACGCGAAGCAATCTGAAGTGCTATCGATGCTGACTACTTGTCATTTGTTCTCTGCCCCTCCTTCCCCTAACATTGTTCTGATGCATGGCACTTTGGCACTCAGTCGAATCCAGTCGTTTGTCTCATTCAATATCCGGCAAACGTGTGTCGGCGGTGACCCACCCTCGTCAGGCGTCGGCGGTGGCCCACCCTCGTCAGGTGTTGGCGGTGGCCCACCCTCGGCAGGTGTCGGCGGTGGCCCACCCTCGGCAGGTGTCGGCGGTGGCCCACCCTCGTCAGGTGTTGGCGGTGGCCCACCCTCGGCAGGTGTCACCTATATTTTCGTCTGTATCACGGAGGTTACGATCATTTAGCGTTTGCTAACTTCCTTGAGTACGCATCAAACTGTAAGTATTGACTTCAGAATGGTTTGCACGGCATCAGGTCACCTGTATCGGCACTATCGTCATACCTATGTTACCCGATGGGTAGCATTCTTGAGATGATTTTGGGTCTGCTGATGTCTACATGTACATGGGGAATGGCCTTAATTACATTTTTGCTTTCTGCAGACTTTGGCAAAGCGAAATGCGCTTCTTTCAGTTCCAAACCAAACACAGGCTGCTCGCCGCCCTGCGTGTGGGCAACATGTGCTCACGGAGTACCCCCTGCGCACCACATCTGCGTACTTTTGCGCAACACTCCATTATGGTACAACTGCGCTGCGCATCACACCATGGCACCTGCGTACTCCTGCTTGGCACGCCATCACAGTACACCTGAGCCGACTCCAGCGCACGATGGTGGCGAATAACGCCCATCCGTCAGGCGCGATATTTTGAAACCACATTTTTCTTACGAAGTTCCAGATTCCAGATTTCTACGTACAGTACAGATTTCTACTCGTTTCTACAGTGGATATTTGCGCATCCGCACTTATACATAAACTTGTCGCACTTCACCTTGTTCTCGGGGAAAATGCAACGCCCTGGACGGCAGTGGGCTCTAGACATGGTGTTGGGGCCCGAGTTCGCTTCATGTGCATCTCACTGTGAGCTCAGCCAATCATGCTGAGCGCCATATCATCAGAATGGTGATAGTGATGCATGCGACAATCTTCATTTTAAAAATGGATTTTCCGACCAGAGCAATCCATCACGCTTAACTTAGTGAGAACTCAGTATTTAGTAGCGTAGTTAGCCTAACAACTGCACACCTCTCCAGGTTTCTTCGATGCGACACTTAAGTGCCTCCGTGGCCTGAAAATGTTGCTTCGATGCAATAAATCAACCTTCGAATCAACATTCAAGCATGAATTCATTAAGAAACGTTCTTTCGCGAAGCACCGTGAGAAATTCCGACTTGACGATTTCCCGTCGCCTTGCACACACACTCACCGAGGCTACCAGTGCGCCGCGTGCACACGTGCCCACCGTGCACACACAATCACCGGGGCCGCCCGTGCACGGCGTGCACACGTGCTCACCGTGCACACACAATCACCGAGGCCACCCGTGCACGGCGGGTACGCTTGCAGTGACCGTTTGTAAACCAAACGCCCCCTCGCCGTTTACGGTAACAGCGTGACCGTCTGTAACCCGTCATTATCCGACTGTGGGTACAGGCTCCCACGGGCCCGGCAAAACCCCGGTTGTTATCCGCCGGAGAATGCTCTCCGGCGAGAACGGTCCTCGCATGATCGCCTCAGCACGGGCGGCGCCAGGGAGATGTCCACGGAGGCGGGGATGGGGTGTGACATTGCCCAGTTATTTGCTTCGATAGAGCGACCGTCGCCCTTGCGCCGTCGTGTTCTCGAGGCGACCGTCGCAATTTTGATGCTCTTTTGTTGTGTCGCGTGACGCGCCATTTGACGCTCGTTTTCGGAGTCAAGTGACGCCCCACGGGTGTTGCCTGGACGCGCTTCTGGACCCTGTCTCGCTTGTGGTCCGCCGGCGAGCTGATAAATCGTGCGTCTCCGCGTGGAGCCGCCGGAGACGGCTCTGACCCGGCCAGCCGTGGCGAGCATGCGCCCCGGGCACACGAAGCGGAACCATTCCGGACGACACCGGGCGCAGTTTGTTTTATGACCGGCCGTTTTGGGAACAGCCTGGCCCGCGCTGCTAGCTCCGCCCTCGCTGTGACACGCTTTGCATGGGATAATTCGTTGAGCATCGCACGAGTGGTACATTAACATGACGGGAGAATAAGCATTGATGGCATGGAGTGGTCCGGTATGTTTTTTTCCTCGTGTGTTTCAATGAATTCCAACCCTTGCCCTATCAGCATGAGCATAAGTTCGTTTCTGGATATGACAACATACTTCCAATTGCAAATATCTGGAGGTATGCATACACGGCTGTATTTCAGACGTCTATGGTCCGATCCACCGTGTATAATCAGGCTTGGTGATGTTTCTATGATGAACGAACTAAAACATCAATAATGTATGAAAACGAGACAAGAATACCTTTCAGTCGCAGTATAACTCGAGCAACGCAGCAGGCATCTTTGGGACGTCACTCCGAAAGGGATTCGCCTTCTCTTGGTGGTATCGTGAACGCAACTCTGGATGCCGCCTATGGCAGGATAAAATTGGTGCAGATTACTGTTTTTCTGGGCGTGTCATCCGCACGCATATTTTGGTGGTAGCTATTGCGCCCTTTTGGTAGAGCACGCACCTATCAACCAACATCTGAGTCAGTATCTTTTGAGGGGTATTGTTAATATGCAGGTAAGGTTTTGCAGACAGCACTCCCCGACGAATGATCATTGGCTGCTATGTATATAACTATGACAGACGTGCCTAGTACAGTAATCGAGTGAGATCATTTACGTTCCTCCGTCCGTGATGACTGATGACTCACCTCTTATTAGCATAAAATCAACTCGTGCTTCTCCAAGGATGAGACAGACACTGCCCTAGCATCTCTGTACCGCCCCCCGCCAATGTGTCGCTGCGGAGCAACGTCAGTCGCTACGATAGAAATCGCATTTCTGCTCGTTGATTAAAGCCTTATCTTTGCATAACCACTTGGCCATTTGCCATTAGGTCGTCAGATAAACTACCTTGGTTTCGGAAGTGCAACGAAAACAAGCAACCAGCGACGCTGTTATTTTTTGTTATACGCATGATTTCATCGATCCTTATGAAGTACAATTCGGTGGTTGTCCTTTGCTGTGTGATGCCGTTGCCGGAATTTGGGTGACGTCATCTTTAGTGACGTCACTCTATATTTCTTTAGTCACGTCACACTCCATATTCGTCATGCATGTTGTTTAAACGTGTCTTGCTTACATTTATTGTGAAAATAGTTACATCATTCGATCTCCGTCTCCGGCCCAAGGAGCGGAATATTGCGCTTCTCCCCATCCATGTCATCTCTTCCTCCTCCTCCTCATCCCCCTCTTCAACATCATAACTCATTTCCCATCCTGCACCAGTTCGCTCCTTCTCCCTCGCCCGTTCCGCAGCCACCGCCTCCTCCCCACGACACGTCCCTGGCTGGATCCCCCGCCGAGCGCAAGCACACGCACACTGCCATCACCGGCCGTTCTACTTCGGCTATCAGGACCGCCAGGTGGGGAGCTGCTGGTGTGGGTCCGCCCTGTCCGCCTTCCGCTGGCTCGGCGGACCCGAGCTGCTGGGTCGGGTCTCGCGCATGGTGGCGTCATGGCCAAGCGAATTAGATACTGAACAGGAAGAGATCCTGGACGGAACCGGGACGCGTGTAGTCTTCGCTGTTTTGGACTCCGAAAACAGTTACTTTGCGTTCAGGAAGAAACAGACGGTGGCCTACGGCTTTACATTGTCTGGCAAGCAGGATATATTACGAACAGAACTTGGAACACAGGGCAGCGAATTTTCCATTTGCTGCAGCTTGCCGTACAGCTTGATCGACAGATACCTCGTCTCGTATCTCACCGCCCTAAATGCCTCCAATCAAATAGTGATTCGGGACGACTGACGTCACATGGCACAGCGATCGATCAGAAGCCGCTTCGCCTGAACAGCTCCCGACACAAATATTCTGAACCGCGGCCTCCTGCAGATCGAACACTGTCGGCTGACATGACTCATCCCAGCACAACGGTTTGTCGAGCCGCCGCGTTCCGGCGGAGGAATGCTGGGAAAGGCATTCATCACGGCTGGTTATGCTCGGTACTCAGCTGGCGCAGAGTGACGTCACGAATGCTGCCTTCGAAATCCGTCTCGCTAAGGCTTGGGAATCGCCGCGGGCGACGCGGAAGTGTTCGCTACAGCCTTGCTGAGAGAATTGCGGTGGCTTGGTGGTGGCGGGCCGTTCGTTGCTCTGTAACGGACGCTGCGTTTCGCCGTCCCTGTGAAATCAAGTCGGTAATCGGGGGGAGGGGGGGGGGGATCAGGGGTAATCGGGAGCAGGGTGTTATAACGCGCGATAAATGGGATAACGACTCCATGGACCCCGCCTCCTGACCTGTCCCGGTCGCGCAATGGGATTATGCGACACTGGGACAGTCCAACACTCGAACAACCCTACACTCGAACAACCCTACGCTCGGACAACCCTACACTCGAGCAATCCACCACTCGAACAATCCTACACCCGAACACATGATCGGTCTTTGCACCACTATGACTCGCCATCATTTGCGACACGCGGATCGTATCGGCCAGAAGGATGGAGGACACCGCATTGAGGCTGTCTGCGCACGGGTACTCCTCGCCGTCCGCCTCGAGTCCCTGGTGTGTGGTGCGTACACTCCGAAGTGTAAGCTTACTCCAGAGTTAAGCGTTCACTTAATTACCGGGAGCGTATGCCCACTTCGCAGTGCAAATCCGCTCCAGAGTTTTGTCCACTCCAGAGCGTACGCTCATTCTGGAGTGTAGTCCGCTGGGAGAGTGGGTCTACTCAGGAGAGCAGGTCCATTTCGAAGTGTAGGTATAATCCGGAGTGTCTGTCCTCTTCGGAGGGGAACCAGAACGTTGGACGGCTGGAGGGTTGTTCCGTCCCATCAGGCGCAGGCCGACTCCTCTGTAGAGTCACGTGGCGCGTGGTAATGACCTCCGAACGGTCACGTGGTGCGGATGACTGGTCAGCTGGCCACCGTCTGCCGCCTTGGACCCTTTGTCCGCGGGGATTTGGAGGCGGTGGCTTGTGTGGTGCGATAAATGGACGCTGGCGGCCGACGATAAATCTAGTCTCGTCGTTTTCCCTCGCTCGCTCTATCGCTATATCGTTCATTTCTTCCTCTTTCCACATTCGTTCTCTGCCTCCCTCCCTTACGTGCCTATATACATTATACATATGTCTCTCTCTCTCCTCTCCCCTCTCTCTTCTCTCTCTCTCTCCTCTCTCTCTCTCTCTCTCTCTCTCTCTCTTCTCTCTCTCTATCT